TAAGATAAAATCTATTTAGCGATTAGTGTTTTATCTTCATCAGGAACTTTATAATCTAAAAGCGAAAGAGGTATCAAAGTTGAGTCTAATTACTAAGAGTGTTTTAATATTGAGTCAATGACTTTATTTACAGCATCTTTCATTTGGCAAATATCATTATACAGAGTAATTTGATGTAGAGCTGTAATATCAAGGTATTGGGCTTTAATAGGATTGTGACTTTTTTGTTGTTTCGATAGCAGATGTAACTTTGTATAATAAAGAGCTGAGCTAAGAAATCTTGCATGGTGAATTGTACCTGGTTTTTTTATTTAAACAATTCCCGATTTCGATAAATAAATGATAACAAGCTCTGCTTGTTCTTTTCTGTCTTCCCTAGCAATATTTTTCTTTTTAATGTATTTTTTGCAATATTCGAGTGTATCTGTTGCTGCTTTTTCAACTACAGTACCAGCCTTTAATGACCAATTAAACCTTAATATGTTTTCGGGTTTGTAATGAAACTCTGGATTGTCAAACTTATTTCTTAATCTTTTAAAAAAAGATTTTCTGGTCCTAAATTTTCTTTATGAGTAACATGTTTCTAAAAATGACTTATTCCAAGCTCTGTAACATGGTGCCTGCAAGCAAGCTGGAGAATATATTTCATATTATTATTTAATAGTATATAATAGTATACTATTAAATATCATAATAGTATTTAATCATGGGTAATTCTATTAACGCTCCTTACTGTAATGCCAGTATTTTTTGCTGTTGTGTCAAAGCACAATCCACCAACATTTGATTTAATACCATATTCATCTAGCAACTGCATTATTCCTTTATATTGATCGTCTCCTGAAGAGGATGGTAAACAAGACACACCCAACAAGTGTGATTCGCCATTAATATTTACTAGTACTGCTAGTCGCTTGCATTTCAGTTTTTTTCCTTTAATTGTCTCAAATATAATTTTTCCATCAAAATGAATTATACATGGGAATGTAGATAAACGTAATTTTGTTTTAATATCTTCTTTAGCAATATTTGAAATTTCTTTATTTTCTCTTTTCTTTCTTTTAACTGCAGTTGAGAGACTTGATTTGATGGCGTTTATGTCTACTCCTGCAGCTTGAACAACCGCTGTTGTAATTATCTGCAGAACCATAGGAGAGATGTTATTAACAATTACCATTAAAGCAACATTTCCGGAATAAATATCTTTAGAAATGTTGGCCCAAGTTTTCGTACTGCTAGGTTTATTTTTTCTTTTTAAACATTTGCCTAGCTCGAAGAAAAGTTATCTGAACTTAGTTCATCATTACTGCTAACGTCTTTTTTGTGAAATTTTAAGATTTTACTTGGGGATTCATTTTTCATTGCATTATTGCACTTCTTTATATTTAATGATTTTACCTTATATAAAAATAAATTTATTAGTTATAAGATTTTAGAGTGACAAAAACATAAAATTAGAGCATATCTAATAAATTTAACTAACTATAAAGAGAATATTATTTAAAAACTAAATGTGTGAATGAGAATCAACATAGTGTAAGTCCAAAAACAAAATAAAGTTAGTTAAATCAATATTTTTTTATACTAATGCTTCACTCCATATAGTAAAATAACTAAATAGTTCATCTACCTTGAAAGCATCATTTAATTAAGATCTGACGCAAAACTAAACATTAAGAAAAAAATAAAACTTACACTATAAAAATTATCACAACCAAAACATAATCAAATTACTTTCTTAGTATATTTATCGTCTAGAGGGCCCAAATGATATAATCTTGGACTTCTGAAGAATGTAAATCTTTGATTTTAGATTCATTGGATCTTAGCTTATCACTTTTAATAAAATCTTTTAGTTCTGTAATTCTTATCCAAAAAATATGTTTAACAACATTTTCAAATCTTATTTGATTTTTAATATCTTGTTTTGAGTTTCATTTGACATTCTTTTATAAGTTAGAATATTTTTGCTCAAGATTTAAAAAACTTTTCTCTAATATTTACGCCGCTAATAACTGGAAACCCTGCTTTCATGAAATCCATGGATGTTTAATTTTTGCCATGATATATTCACATTCAACTAGTTGACACCTATCAACCTTTAAGTTTGACTTTGGAGGACAATATAGAATATCCAACTTTTTTGTAATTCCATTTGGCAAATTTAATTGACAATATTATACCTGATGGAAGTTGGGTTCCTAAACCATATAGGTTTTTATTAAAATAGTATTACCAATACTATATATATAGCATAAATATGCCCGCATTATTTATCTTACAGAGAATAATAGTGTGACGGATTGGTGTCGATATTGAGATGAAAATGTGTTTTAGTGACCGTGACTTCTTTTCAGCTAAATACAAAATATCATAAAACCATATCGATAACTGTACATTTATTTCTATGCAATACATACCTGAAATAGCAGGCATAGCTTTATCGATATATGAAAAATCTTTTTAGAAGATCTCAAACTGTTTTTGCGCAAAATCATTTTTTTTTTTTGATAACTCATATTAATACTTGTTCATTTAAATTTTTATTTTGAATTTTAAAATTCAAAGTCAAATATGTAAATTTCAAATTTTAAATCAATGTAGTGGCTTCATATTATTAGTTTTTTTATTTAAAAATAAATTCATATGAAACTTTAGTAAAAGAACATAAAGTGTAATGGCTTACTATATATTTTATTTTGGGAAATAGCAGGCGAAGGGGGATGGAAGAATGTTAAGGAAACTTACCTTCAAATACGTAACTAATTAAAGTAGCAAGCATTGCACAATATTTTAAATCAAAAAACATTTTTATTATATAAGAAAAAATGTATTTATATACTCCAAATGCTTTTTTAATATCACGACAAAAGTCATAAATTTTGCAAATTTATGAACAATTTGAATAATAAATGCTTGTTAATAAAACAAAAACAAATATACGTATGATTTTAAATGAAAAATATATGTAGTCTCGGCACTTTTTTTTAATTCAGCAAAATTGGTTTATATTAAACCCTCCCTCAATGTCACTGAATTCAACAACTTTTGACAAAAAAATTGTTGAATTCATATTTTTGTTTTGAAAATTCTCTCATTCTGAATCACCCTTGTGATTCAGAATGTGAGAAGTGTACATACATGGACTTAAGTATGTAGAACTTTTAAGGAGTGTACATATATTGATTTAAATAGATAGAGCATGCAAGGAGTGTACATACATTGACTAAAAATGGTAGAACATGTGAGTGCACATACATCAACTGAAATAGGTAGAACATGAAAAGAATGACAGTATATCAACTCAAGGTTTCAGCTAGAGCAGGCAATCATTTTATTAGAAAAAAAAAAAAATTTCTGAGCACTCTATTTGTAGAATACACTATCATAAAATTCAATAAAAATGCTCATCTTAAGCAAATTTAATCTGATTCAGGTTACTGTTTTGAAAAAGGCTTCCTATGTTAAATTGTTTTCTGATGAATGCTGGATCTTCTTGACTCATGGGCTATTGCTTGTACCTCCTTGTTAGTCAAAGTCATTAAAGTCTTTATATGGAGTATCTGAAAAAGTTTTTGCTATTATTAAATTATTTTTTTTTAACCTCATTCTTAAAGATGCTCTCAAAGGCTAACATTTTCTTCTAACTCTTGTCTTATAACTATAGTCTCACAACCATAGTCTTTATTATTGTTAATAGTTTTAATAAAACTTTTTTAAACTTGTATTCTTATTTACTAGTTTTTTAGTTGCTAATTTTTCTGTACAAAGTGAAAAAAAAAAGATACAAACAGTGTTAAAGATAGAATGTAGAAAACCGCTTTATCTTTTTAGATAAAAAGATTGAATGTAACTAAAAGATCTCTAAGTGTCAAGATGAGCTTCATATTAATAAGAATCATAAAAAAAGATGTTTGGGCTGAATTTTTTGAGTAAAACAAATTATTAAACGTATAATAAACCAAGAAAAACTAACTTTGTTGTTTTACTTGAACCTCGCCATCTCCCTGTTAGCCAGTTGCTTCAAGTCTTTAAAATAAGCGCCACAATTGACAGACTTTATAACTTATTCATTTTTTTCTTCTAGTTTATCTAAGCCGTTTATTGCTATGACATTTTTGTTCTCCGATAAAAATCACATTTCACAAATTCTTTAATTAAAATTTTTTTTTTTTGGTAAACAACATCGTTTATTAGAGATATTTGCCTAATTCTTTAATTTTTAGTTTAAAAATATTTATAGATTTTAGACAATATTTATAGATTTTAAAAATTTAGAAAATTAAATAACTAAAGAAATTCTATAGCAATAATTTATGATGAAAAAAACTTTTATATAAAAATAAGTAACTAAACAAATTTTTTCATATTCTATAATGAAAAAAAAAAAATGATAAAAAAAATTATATAATTTTATGAAAAAAAAAAGAATTTTTAGATTTCTTATAGAAATTCTACAATGATATCATATACTAAAACTTTTTGGAATTATACGCGCTTGAATAAATTATTAAGTCTGTAGATTGCGGCACATATTTTAAAGATTTAAAGCAACTGGCTAACAGAGACAGCAAGTTAACATGGATACAGCAAGTTAACATGGAGACAGCAAGTTAACATGGAGACAGCAAGTTAACATGGAGACAGCAAGTTAACATGGAGACAGCAAGTTAACATGGAGACAACTTGTCTCAGCACTTTAAGATCCCTTTAAGAATGCCTAAGAGTATGAAAAAAACATGCATAGCTTCAACATATTTGGTCATTCTATCAGACTAATTGCAAGACCTCAGGACCATCAAACGATACTGACTATTTCAAAATTCTAGTAGAAGATTTCAACTCATTAAGCTTAATATATTTAAACTTCATTTAACAAAATTAAATATTTTAACATAATAACTAAAAATATAATTGTGAATTAAAAACATTTTTTGAATTAAGCAAACCAGTTGAAAAAAAAAAAAAAAAAAAGAAAAAAAAAGTCAAAAATAACATACCATAACATCAATAGGCGAGATCAAGTCATGCTTATTTATAGTAGCAGGCAAAAATGACCAGTCACCTTTTCTCAAGCTTAAAATATGAAATCTAAAATTACAAAACAAAAACTGTGCATAAAATAACACTAAAATATTAAAAATAAGTAAAAATTTACAAATTTTGCAAAAGCTGAAAATGAAAAAAATTCAATTTCACTTTTCATAAATAAAAAATAGAATAATATATATATATATATATATATATATATATATATATATATATATATATATATATATATATATATATATATATATATATATATATATATAAATGATATATACAAATGAATATAATATATAAAGTATATAATACATAATAAATAACCAATAAAGTACATAATATATAATGTAAAAAATATAATACATATAAATACATATACAATAAAAATACATAAAATAATATATACAAGTTTCACTTTTCTATAAACAAAAATAAAATAAAACGAATATAGATAAGTACAATGTATAAAACATAAAATATATAAAGAATAAAAAATATAATATAAAGTTTATACCATAAACTATTTTATCTTAACAAATAAGAGGATAATTATTATTGGATTATTATTATATTAATTAGGTAATGTAAATTAACAAAAATGTGATAATTAAAAAAAAACAACTGAGTCAAGTAGTCAAAATTGTAATTAGAAACCTTGTATTGTTTTTTATTGTGTTGTTGTTTGTATATTGGATTACATATCATGTTCATATTTCTGTTAAAAGATTTTATCATTAAAAAGATTAATTATCATACTCGTTTTTTGATTGATAAACTTTCAATTATTAACTTTGTTTTTTCTTTTAAACAACTGAAGAAAGCAATGAGAAACAATAATATTATAAATATAGATAAAAAATAAACCAGGTGTAAAACATGCATAAGCTGCTGAGATTTGCTTATTTTTAATTTGACTTTTTAAGACATCTCTTAAGATCAAAATAAAATTGTTAAACATTATTTAAATAATATAAAAAACAGAGCTTTAATAGCAGATGATATGCTGCATTTAGAATAAGCAAAAAAAAAAAAAAATAACGACAGCCTGGACATGTTATGTGTAAAGAATCTAGATGATTTAGAATTCAAGAATATTTAGGGGTACAATGGGGGTATATAATTAGGAAATAAAGGGGTGAAATGCAGAAATTTTAATCTAAATAATTTAAAAAACCACATTTTATAAATAATTTTAAATTTAATAAACAAAAAAAAAAAACATGAAATTTAAAATAAATTATTTTCCACATAATTGGTCATACAAAAATTAATTCTCACATTACAACTTTTTACCTGTACCAAAATAAGGAGTTCACCATAACAAAGAAAAATATACCAACAGAAAGCAAAGTAGCAATCCATATTGAAGCTAAAGTTAAAATAATTTTTGAATATTGTTGAATTTATCTAATATTTAAGGGTTTTTGACTTGAATCTTTTAAAAAAAATTTAAAAATCTATCTATGTCATTTATCAAATTACACTTTTAAAATCTAAAACTTATGTAAAACCTATTTACTTACCTTTTATGCAAATAACTAAGCGCTTTAAGTATTCTAATGATATGCCAAGTTGCAAATGTAGAGTCTCTAAGCCACCGATATTGAAAAATCCTTCACTTTTACGAAAACCGAATAGAAACTCATATGACATGAAAATTCCAATCAACATCTGTAATCAATACCATGATTAGCTATTATCAATTATATTATTAAAAATTGAACAATTTTCAGAATATAAGTCTATATTAGTAAGAAGCATGGCATAATTACATTTATTTGCAAACATAAAAGAACGTTTAGATCAGCAATCTAATGTTAATTATGGGAGATTCAGTACATACATTGACTAATATAAGGAGAACATGCAATAGAGTTAGGCTGGAACAGTAATTTTTTTTTCATTATTTCATTATTCTTTGTCTTTTGTTTTCTTTTTGCTAAAAATTGTTTTGATTTAGGTATATATATATATATATATATATATATATATATATATATATATATATATATATATATATATATATATATATATATAAATATATATATATATATATATATATATATATATATATATACACACACACACACACACATATATTCCTATAGTAAAGGTATTAAACCGCTTTTGTATAAAAACAACACTAAACTACTCTATGACATCTAACAAAATAAAATTAAGGTCAGATTTTACCAAAACCAATTAATTTACTTGAGGAAACTAATTAAAAATAATTTTTTTTTTTTTAAATTACAAAAGCATAAAAGACTCAAATCTTTTTAAAAACTCAGAATGTTTTTGTTTTTATTTTTTACTGTAAAATATATACGCGGAGTGTTGCTACATTGACTATCTTTATACACAGTTCACAAATATAGGTTTTAGGTATAAAATGATATAACCCCGGAAGTTTTAGTAGATTTAGGTCATTAATATTATATGTTTTAGGGATTTAACTTTAAAAAAATCTAATGAGTAGCCCTTTTTGAGAAAGTTTTGTTTCTTTAATTAGAATTTAATTTAAAAGTATGGTTGATAATACAATGTTAATTAGTTTTATTATTACATATTACAATATAAAAAAATTTTAGTTAAAAAATCAATGACAAAAAATCTTTTATTTGTATTTATAACTTTGACAAGGTTCTTTGATTACAGATTTGCACTACAAAACACCTCTGCAATTGTCTTGCTTCTTATCAGATGTTTTTTGCTCATTTGGAAAACATTGAATCTGTTACTTCATTTTAGCATGAACTGCTTCAGAAGCCTGTTCTGCATATCTTCCAAGAGAATGGCCTGATCTGGAGATAAAGTATTCTATGCATGTTGTAAAAGCATGTACTTTCCAAGTAACAGTCAGATCCTTTTCAAGATACTAAAATATCATAAAATATCAATTAAATATTCTAAAAGAATGTTTATTGTAATATCTTTTCAAGAAAAGTATTAAGTATAAATTATAGTGAAATACTAAAAAATGTACTGGGGAAAACAATATTATTAAAAGCAAAATAGGACATTCTATAGCCTACCTCCTTAGAGTATTCTTGGGTAACCACGTAAGATAGTATAAATAAACCACGTAAGATAGTATAAATACCTGAATGTCATTTTTGTAATTGGGATCTAAACTGTGTCTGAATGTTCCTTGAACTACCATGCGGAACTTTCACAAGGGTTCTAATAGAGGTAGTAGCTCTACTGGTAACAGATAGTTTATCATCTCATCAGACTATTCTAATATCCATTTTGAAGTATTTCCTTCATAAATTTCACCATGGTATCCCTTTCTTATACATCCTAAGCTTGAAACCCACATGTCAAACTCGGTCCACAATTTGGTTAAGAATAATGACATATAACTTACAAGGCCCATCAGAATGTGAAGTCCTGGCAAAGGTATAACATCTAACATCAACTTGGATTTGTCTTCTTTCTTGATCAAGCATGGCTTCACAACATTCTATGTAAAAATAATATTTATTAAAGTCTGATAAAACGACCTCGAAGTCCTGCATTCTTTTGTGTGACAATCCAGCCTTGTAATACAGTATATACCAATCAAATTTAAAAGTATTGATATCTCCAGCAGCAATAGTTGATGAACTTTCACACCAGGCACAGGAATATTTTCCTCCGTGAGCCTATAATAATCTATAAAAGGTTCCTGAATTACATTTTATCAAGTATTACATGCATATGTGTTCATGTAATGTGAAAAGTTTAAATTTGGATTATAATATATAATACCGAAATCCCCAACATTATGTTGATGAATTTCATGTCTGATTCAAGAGAGTATTTACATTCATGCAGATTTAAGCTTTCAACAATCTGCAATAGATTGTCATGGGTCTCTTGTAAGTTATCTGCATATGCAAGAACAACAGCCCTATTGATCCCAGAGTATGTTCCTATGTCCCCCATGTCATCCTTTCTCTTGTTCAGGGTCAAATCTGTTGCAGATTACTTTTAATGAACCTCCACCTAAATTGAACATGGACTTTAGGAATTATTTTACTAAACATTAGATTAAAAGAATGCTCATTTTATATTTGTCCCTCATTTTTAACTTTAGTTGCTTGAATAAATTCCAACTCTGACAAAGGTACAGTGGTAATTTTGATCTCTGAAATCCATGACAAAGTTGAGAAACTCTGTAAGGTCTTCAACATAAGCAAGGTCTCTTTGTGAGCCTATTGCTTATTTTCTCTTCAGCTTGAATAGTCTTGACATCATAAAAATCTGATAGAAACTTGCTACTCTAATCTAGTTTTTCCCCCATGAATGATTCAAATTTAATACCGCATTTTTGAAGCCCCTTCAACATCTGCTTATATTGACTAAGTCCTACTTTGTTCATAAGAGCCTGAATCTCTTCAAAGTTCACTTTCCTGGTTTGTTCAATTGGTTTTCCAAGGATTACAGGAATTAATAATTCTCCTGTAATAAAATTTATTAATTCATACATACATATTTAAAAATGCCTGATACTGAAAATACAAAAAATGTTATTCCATATTTTATTTATAGTATAATAGATAAGTAACCTAATCTGTTGAAATAATGATCTCTTTCCCAATATTTGCCTGTGAAGATGCATAGATGTTTTGATCAGAATTGAAGTAACTTGCTGTTGCACCTTTGATGATCTGCTTCTTAGCAAAAAATATATTATAAATTATATATTATATTTGATGATCTGCTTATATTTATGAAGAGCTTTGAAACTAGTTTTCTCCTGTTCAGGAGAACATTTGTGGGGTATACCTTTACCAAGATTACACAAGCAGTTACAACATAAAAAAAGAAGTTTTTCTGACTTTGACTTCAATTCTAGCTTTGATTTTCCATAGCACCTTACAATCCATGGATTTTGCCATAGCACAGACTGTACACTGTATGCTACAATTTCTTCAAGACTTGAAAAGCATTATTAAAGTATTAGATCCCCTTGCTTCCAGTTTTCAGTTTTTATTGGAATAAGATTTTCGAAGCTAGCTTGTACATGCATGATTTGCAAGATGTAAAAATTCCTAAAGTAGAATAAAACTACAGTTATGGATTCAAAAATCACATCTATTTTTAATAAAGAACATTGCAGTGAGTGAGCTGTAAGACATGTTTTTTCTTTAAAAATATTTCGTTCAATATACTGTCAAAAGACAATATTGAATTGATGACAATACTAAACCTCTCGTATAAAAATGTTCAATGTAAGTTTTACCTGTTGAATACTCATGTTTTGAATAGTTGGGATTGATATGGTCTTTGAACAATTTCTCCTGTGTCAGGTTGATAAGTATACATTTGAAATCTTTGATGTGGCAGCAAGCACAAACCAGTCTCTGAATGTCCTCATGATTTCTCTTATACTTATTCTTTTTAGAGAGTAGACCTGGCATAACTTTTTGGTTCTTTAAACTAGCTTTGCAGATTTTATTTTTTAATTTTGTGGATTATTTATTTAAGACACATAAGTATATATGTTGTTACATACTTAAGTTTAAAAAGTGAGCATATAGACAGTACAAACTAGAATAAATGTTAATAAAAAATATTATTTTATTGTAATCCATAACAATATGGATAGATAAATGTAAATAATAAGAAAGGTAAATATGTGTGTGCGCATATATATATATATATATATATATATATATATATATATATATATATATATATATATATATATATATATATATATATATATACATACATACATACATATATATATATATATATATATATATATATATATATATATATATATATATGTACACTGTAAATCCAAAAGGTTCTTTGCGGTTCTTTGAAGAACCTGTAGGTTCTTGGAGAAAATTTAAGGTTCTTTAAAGAACCTACGGGTTCTTAATATTCTCTAATGGTTCTCTGAAGAACTGGCGGCTTATTTACACAGCAATACAAAAAACCCACAAGGTTCTTCAAATCATTATATGGAAAACTTCGAAGAACCTTAATTTAGTGTTCTTCAAATCTTTTGTAATGGCCATTTTATTTTTATAATTGGTAGTTATATAGGTAGACTAGTATGAATTTATGAAGAATGGTATGATAACAATAACGAATGATTATCATGACAGCATTTATTTGTGCTTTAAACATTTGAGTTGTTTTTATTACTGTTGTTAACATTAACAGTGATTATAAAAGTAACGTGTTTTTTTAATTTATTTTCGAGCAGTTTTCTTATTCCTATATTCTTCTATTATGCATATTATAAATAAATATATCATTGCATATTGCGAATGGTTTTGTTTAGATAAATAAGTATAAAAAAAACAAAATATATCATTTGTTAAAATTTTAAAAATGGCAGATTATTTGAAATGGAGTGTAGAAGATGTTTGCGTATACTTAGAACTTAAAGGACTCCCAGAACTTAGGACATAAAGATCTTAGACAAAAAAATATATATATTACATAAATATATTTTATATACTAATATATATAATATATAATATATTATATATATATATATATATATATATATATATATATATATATATATATATATATATATATATATATATATATATATATATATATATATATATATGTATATATATAAATATATATATTTATATATATATTTATATATATATTATAGTGTAATGTTAATAAAGTATCATATAATATATACATATGTATATATATTTATTGTGTACGTACTTTAAAGTTATATAAAATATATACATGTGTATATATGTTATCCATTTCGTGTTAATTGCTTGATACATATATACTACAAGATGGCTACATCTATATTACTCTAAGAAACATGTGTTTTAAATAACTTTTTCTTGCATATTATTTTTTTTATGTGAATATTTTGTTATTTAATTAAAGCACAGTAAAAGGGAAACTGGAATAACAATCTTAAGAGAGCCAATTGCAATTAATAATTTTTTAATGATTATTATTATTTGTTTAATAAAACAATTATTTAAAATAGTATATGTAGTAAATTAAAAATTTGTCATAAATAGTAAGTAATATATAAACAATTATTGAAGGAAAGCATTTTTTTAATTTAAATTTGCTGCATTACTATGCTATTGTGAGTTTCTAATTAATATTTCCAAAATAATTTGCATTCTTTTATATATATATACTTCATATATGAAGTCTACAAGTCTGCAAAAAGTTAAACTCTAGTTATATTCTTTATTATATTGTTGTACATATTTTAATATTAAAGAAATGAAATGACACTGAGATTTGGTAAATTTTTTGATAAAAAACTGCATCAAACGAAAAGCTTAGTTATAATAGTCAGATAATACATTATAGAATATATAATAGTCAGAAATCATTTAGTTATTTAATTTATTGTAAGATTTTTTCCATATAAGTAAATTTTTTCTTTTTCATGTTTTAATTTATTGACTAATTACATTAGTTTCTGCTTTTGTTACTATTTATATAATAAATATAAATATATTCCTTTTATATAAGAGTATTTTCAAATATTTTTAAATTACAGTATTTATTTATAATTGTTGTTATTTTTTAGTTGTAAATAAAAATAATATAACTAGAAAAAAAAATGTCTGCTGCCGGTAGAAAAATAGATGCATTTTTAAAAACAGTTTGAAGAAATACCTGCAAAGTTTGGTAAAAAGGGTGAAAAAGCTAAATGTAAAAGCTGCGGTGTACAAATGCAAGGTTTGGTTGCTGGAATGAGAAACCACAAAATGTAATTTTAGTAAATGTAATTTTCTGAAAGATGTTTAAGATGATGAAAAGATTATTATTTGTCAAAACAAATATCAACCAGGCAACTAAAGAACCACAAGCTAGTCAATGTTCGGTTAAGAGAACTGAATCTAGTCAATCGCTGTATGCCCATGGTGTTGTGAGTTTTTATTTAATATTTTCAAAATATTTTGTACTCTGTTATATACTTCATATATGAAGTCTACAAGTCTACAAAAAGTTGAACTTTTATTATATTCTTAATTATATTATTTTGCATATTTAAATATTAAGGTGGTTCACCTATAAAAATTTTTTTTTGATAAAAATAAGCTCTACCAAGATAATTATTTTTTAAATAATAAAATAAATATTTAAAAATTGTAAAAAAAAAGTTGAAAGTAATTTGCCTCGATTATCAATACTTTTTTGTACACTTTAGTGTAAAAAAATGAAAATTTCATCAAAGGACAACTAAAAATGTTTACATCAAATAGTGCCAAAAATTTACATACTGGTTCTAAACTACCTTATCTCTCATTTGTGCCATGGCTTTTAAAAATACATACTCCTGTGTGATGATATTATGTTTTTTTTGTTAAAGATTGCACTGAAAATCAAAATAATTGCGTGTTACATTATTTCACTTTATGGAAAATAATAAAATTAAGAAAAAAAACATGCACAATATTATAAGTCTATGACATAATATTATAAGTCTATGACATAAATGAATATCTTAAATATAATCAACAACCTGTAAAAATTTCAAGTCAAAAGCAGGTGTTTAACTAAAATTACAATGTTTTGAACTTTTAAAAAATTGTAAAAAAAAAAAAAATGAAGTAAATCAAGTAAAATTATTTTTATAGTTTTAGACAATAACAAGTTGAACAAATGCATCAAAAACCCCCAGCTTCATATTCCAGTTGTTCCTTTTGGTTTTCAATATCAATATCAATATTAAAGTTTTCCTACACGCTTTAACAGGTTGACATGATTTGTGTTCCATATGTGTTATTCGAAGAATATCTCGTTTCTGAGTTTTAGCAGCTGTTACAAAACCATCACATCAAAATGATGATAAAACTTCTCTAATACCATTTCCTCCATCATTAAAATGTAAGACTGCAGAGTATACTGTCATTTCATTAATGAATTAAGACATTCATTAGCATTTTGAGTTTGTCCATGGAGACATTTTAAATAACAAGGTATCAGCAGATAAATCAAAGAATATAGGCTTAATTATATCATGAATCCACTTTGGTAGTGATATTTTGTTTTTATAGAAAGAAGTTCTTTTGCTTTTATCATATTGCCATTTTTTTGTAAGTAATTAAATGAATTGTTTGTCATACTAAACATATTCACGCATTTTGCAAATTTCTTCATTCCACTGAAACCTTTCCCTATCTCACCAAAAGCAACAACAGCACGTAGGTTTGCTTCAAACGCAATTTTTCCTTAAGACTTATCTGTAGTTGAACACTTCACTGATGTGTATGAAGACTCATTCCAATCACAATAAGTACAACTAATTTTGAATAAATGACAAAAACCTAATCGAGATGTTAGGTTATCTGTTAACGCTATTATACTGTTACACTCAGGGCATTTTAGAAGTGATACTAGATTCTTTAAATTCCAAAAGTTTACAGTACATAAATAATTTTTATTGTTATTAATACTTTAGTTTGTATCATTGGATTGATATTTTTTTCTAACTAATTTTCTTCCACTTGAAGAGGCTATCTCGTGTTGAACAGACACAACATTATGCTTTTTTGCTTTTACGAATTGATTTCCATGAAACCTTTTCTTTTTTAAATGTACTAAGTTCTGCTTGTTAGAAAGTTTCACAATCTCCATATTCCCAGAATGAAACGTTTGTATAACAAATATATATTAAGCTGAAATGAAGCTCGAAGCAACTCAAAGAACAGCTGAAAGCCTTATTTTTATTCTTAAAAAATGTGCTTTTGTTACTTGAAGGCATGACTAAAAGTGTTCATAATTTGCATAACAAATAAAGCAAAGTATAAATAACATTCATTTTTCAAATATAATTTAAATATAATTTAATAAATATAATAAATATAATAATAAAATATAATTTAAATGAGTTAAGGATAGGATGATATAAATAATTTTTTGGTTGCCAGTACATTTCTATGTGCGTTGCTATGTGTTTTAAAAATACATAGTACAAAATTTTGTTTAATAACAAAAAACTAAAATATATTTTATACTTTTTTTTTCACAATAAGAAAGCTGAATAAATTTTGTATAAAAATCATCCAACATTAAAAAAACGATTTTTTTGTTTGAGTTTTTGTGTTTTTTTTTTTATAGGTGAACCACCTTAAAGAAATGAAATGACACTGAGATTTGGTAAAGATCTATATAAAAAACTGCATCAAACGATAAGCTTTATATGCAAATGGATGTAATAGGCTGATGTGGAAATTTTTGTCAATTATTGTTTCAATCTTAACAAAACAAGGTAAAATTGTATATTATTTAAAATAGTGAAATAGTTTGTATAAATGATATGGAGATTTGAAACATGAGCGTGTGACCATTTCTTCGGAAGAACCTTACTTTAAGGTTCTTCCGAAGAACCCTCTTAAAGGGTTCTTTGAAGAACCTCTACCGGTGCTCCACGAGCATCAATGCGAAGAACTCTTAAAGGTTCTTTGAAGAGCCATTTGGTCTAAGAGTTTATATATATATATATATATATATATATATATATATATATATATATATATATATATATATATATATATATATATATATATATATATATATATATATATATATATATGTATACACATATATATATATATATATATATATATATATATATATATATATATATATATATATATATATATATATATATATATATAGACATCAAGCCTTCTAGTAAGAGGCGTGCGATCGCACGCCTTATATGACCACGGATATAGTTCTTTATTTGAACAAGTTAACCACGGCTCATTGCAAGTTTTGATAATTAGCGCGTTTAAAAAATTGTGCTAAAAAAAACAAAGCAAATTAAAATAAACAATTCATAAACTTAAAAGAGAATAAAATCCTTAAAACAATATATATAATAAAAATCAACCTAAAAAAGTAAAATATTTAAAGAATGATAAAATAATTTTGCTTTATCTTTGCTTATACAAACATTGCCGTTTGATTAAGATTTTTCAAAACGAACGCATTTTTTAAAAATAATTTTGCGATCATTAGTTTTTTATTTATTACAAAAAACACTTATTTAAAATGAAAAACAATTAACTACAGAGACTTCAATGGCGTCACTTTTAAGTAAAATAAATAGAAAGTAATTATGTTTTACCATGGTTATTGCATGCGCTCACAAAAGTATGCATAATTTTACGTAAAATAAATGCTTTTGCAAAAACATCCAAAGAAACCATCCAAAACAATTTGATTGCTTTCTTTTATTGAAGAAAGCGATCATAATGTTTAAGCATGGTTTCTTTTCTGTTTTTAGCAATTACATTAAAAGTTTAAAGCAAATGATTTCATTATAAATAAAATTGTGCATGTTTATTTTCTTAATTTTATTATTTTCCATAAAGTGTAATAATGTTTGTTTGCATATTAAAATCACTTTTAAAAGTTTTTTTTATTGTGCATTTATCATTAATTTGGGCGCGCTTTGCAAATGTGTAAAAAAAAGTTTTTGAAAAATAACAATTGAATTAATTTACCAAGCATCTTTGATATATTTGATAACTTGATGACTGCGGTAGTGGTGTAGTGGTAGAGCGCTCGCTTCATAAACGAGTGGTTCTTAGTTTGATCCCCACCACGTCCCTGGTAGTACCGCGCTCAACTCGTTTCTCCGCACAGCGGCCTTATTTGTCAAGGTTCGTGTTTCGGAGTTATAGAGTTGAGAGAGGGTTATAGCCACAAATAAGTCGGCCTTGAGGAGGTGAATTAAAATTAAAAAAAAAAAAACTTGTTAACTAAAACAAAAATTATTTGAAATTTGTTTGACACAAATTACTTAAATTAGACGTTCGTCAATAAATAAAGATACGCAAGTCAATGTTCATTAAAAAACACGCCTTGGGATAAAAAATAGTTGGCAAATGCGACTGTTTCAAGATTATTTTTTTATAGCAAATAATTTTTTAGTAAATAATTTTTCTTTTTTTTAGTCAATAGTTTCTTTATTAGAAATTATATTTCCATGGTTTGTAATTATTTTTTAATAGCTTCTGTACTCATTTTGCCTTGAACTCTAATCTGAATTTTTATTCAACGATTGCTTTTACTAAGTTTCATTAAAGTACTTGAGGCAGTTTAATTGTAATTATGGAATCAATTAAAAATCGCATTTACATTTGATTTGTTTTTTTTTAGCGCATTTTTCAAATGCGCTAATTATCAAAACTTGCAAAGAGCCATAATCAAGTTGTTTAAACAAAGAACTATATTCGTGGTCATATAAAGCGTCTGATTGCACGCCTCTATTGAGAAGGCCTGTATATATATATATATATACATATATATATATATATATATATATATATATATATATATATATATATATATATATATATATATATATATATATATATATATATATATATATATATATATATATATATATTAATGACTAGTTATGCAATATAGCTACAAGTATTGATATAGAATAGGAAACAGATCGAAATTTTTCGCTTTTTAACTAAAATGTTGTAATCTTGTAATATTTAACAAAAAATAATAATAAACATTGTATTATCATACAAATAATAAGTACAAATAATAAACGTTGTATTACCATACTTTTAATTTAAATACTAATTAAAGAAGTTAAACCATTGAAAATCCTTAAAAATAATAGGAAATTTTTGCAGATTTTTAAAATGAACTTTCTCAAAAAAGGCCACTCATTAGATTTTTTCAAAGCAAGGTAGCATATTCAGCGTATTTTTTTGCGCAAGTTAAAATTTGTATTCACGAAACTTGCGCAGTTTCGTTAAACAAAATTTACGTAATTTTTTTACGTAAGTTTAGCGCTGAAATATCGGCATTCACCAAGCTAAAATGGTATTCACCAAACTTTTAAAAATTTGGTCAGCTTAATTTAAGCAAGAAAAGTTACGTTAGCTATGAGCTGCCTTATCATTGACGTAACATTGAAATTACTAAATATTAGAAATGGTTTAATATTATTAAGATTGATATATAGCTATATATTGTCAGATTGATATAGAATCTTATTATAATATATACAATTTATGTATGTAAATTGTAACTATTATAATAAAACTAACAATAACCATAGATATTAACACAAATATAAATGCATCATAATAATTTAACATCTTATAAACTAAATAACATTTTAATAATTAAGATGTTATATTATTATAAATTATAGTAATAAAACATCGTTTATTATAATATCATAATGTTATTATATTTTTGTATAATGTTATCAATTTATTATCTTATATAAACAATATAACAGCATAAAATAGGATCTTAATATATTTAAATTATATGCATAATGATGTGATATTATTGATAAATATTGATATAACATTTTAATGACAACGATTAAGACGTTACATTAATAATTTATTTAAATTCATAGTATTTAACTTATACATATATTAAGATGTTATTATATTATTAGTATAAAATATCTTATTATATAAAATAATATTAACATTATTATCTAATCTCTAATCTCTGAAAAATTTAACACTTTTTTAACAATTGTTACTCATAAACTTAAATCCAATATTCATTAGTCTTACGTCAACTATCAAAAGTATCTTAAATATCCAAACTTACATAGTCTACTCTTATCTCCAACAAACATTCCTGAAATTTCATCTCTTATATCTAAATTGAAGCCGAGAAAATCATTAGGTCCAAACAATATTCCTACAAACATTCTTATTGATTTTAACTACGAATTTTCAAATATTCTCTCTAAACTATTTAACATCTCATTGATGAATGAAACTTTTCCTGACATTTTAAAATTTTCTTGTATTATTCTAATTTTCAAAAACGGCTCTAAACTTCTATGTACTAACTGTAGACCTATTTCTCTTTTATCTAACATTAGTAAGCTTCTTGAAAAATTAATGCATTCTAGAGTGTACTCTTTTCTAAACTCTTTTAACTGTTAAAATGAGTTTCAATTTGGTTTTCGATCAAACCATTCTACCTGCCACGCACTGATAAGTATAACTGAAAAGATTAGAAAAGCTCTTGATGCTAGTCATTTTGCTTGTGGTGTTTTTATCGATTTACAAAAAGCTTTTGATACCGTTGATCATAGCATTTTGATTTCTAAGTTAGAACATTATGGAATTCGTGGAGTTGTAAGTGATTGGTTTCGATCTTATCTTTTGGACCGGAAACAATATGTAAGTATTAATGGTTATACTTCTAGTAACAAATGTGTTACATGTGGTGTTCCTAAAGGTTCCGTTCTTGGTCCTCTTTTGTTTTTAATTTACATTAATGATCTAAATAACTCTGTTCACTTCTCGTCTGTTCATTTATTTGTAGATGATACCAATCTCTTGTATGTCAACAAATCATACTATTCTCTATATAAAAATATAAATTCAGATTTTAAAGATATAGTTCATTGGTTAAATGCCAACCTAATATGTCTTAACACTGAAAAGACTGAACTAATTTTTTTTTCATCTCTTAGAAAAAACTGTAACAATAACAGAAAAAACTGTAACCACGTTGAAATTAAAATCAAAATAAATAATAAACAACTATATCCCTCGAGAGTTTTTAATATCTTGGTGTGTTAATTTATTGCAATCTTTCGTGGAACTTCCATATCGATGAGCTGCGCAAGAAACTTAATCGTGCAAATGGTATGCTTTCAGTAATTCAACATTATGTCGATAAAGTTACTCTTTTAAATATTTACTATGCATTATTTTCATCTCATCTTAGTTATTGTTGTTAAGTTTGGGGTCAAACTGGCAACTATCATATTAACAAACTAATGTCATCTCAACGCCAATCCATTAGAATAATAAACTTTCAATCTTTCAAATCAGATACATAAGATTTTTTTAAAAAACTTAAAATTCCAACCTTTCAATTGCTAGTAAAGTTTGCTAATCTTCTTTTTGTTTTCAACTTTCAAAATAAAAATTTACCTTCTTCTTTTGCAAATTTTTTTATAGAAAGTAGACTAATTCATACACACTCTACGCGAAATATAAATAATGGAAAACTTATTGTACCATCATATAAAACTCAAAAGTATGGTAAGAATTCTGTTGTGTATCAGTGTGTCTGTGAATGGAACAAAAGCCTTGTGTACATTATGAATGAGTTCAATTAACTCCAACTTCAAACTCCTTTGTCATCTTTTCTTAATCTTAATCAAAATCAATTGAAAATAATTCTGAAAAATATTTTGTTATAATTTTTTTCTATTACTATAATAATTATCCTTATTTTTTG